CCCAAAGGGGGCCGCGCCGCGCCGCGCAGGGCCACCAGGCCGGTGGACAGCGAGCGGGGCGCGGGCCAAACTGCAGCCTCCCAGCCCCCGAAGGGCCACCCGGTCGGGTCGCCCACTCTCTGGGAAGGCTTCCCCCACCTCCCTCCTGCACGCCCTTCACTCAGCGGGGCACCCCACCCAGGGGGGAACACACACCTTGTCTAGGGTAAGACGCCCAACATGGCAGGCCCACAGACCCGAGGGTCAGCCCCAGGACACACACACACACACACACACACTCCCTCCTCTACCCCGGAATGTGGAGATACCAGCACCAGGCTCTGCGACTCAAGCTTTCCCGAGCAGGCCGCACACATCAGTGTCTACCTGGACAGCCACATTCCATCTCGGAAGCAGAAATGCTGAGGTCTTAGGGCCTCCTTGGACACGCCAACAAAACATCAGGTGGAAGCACACACACAGAGGCAGCACATTCCTGAGACTCCTGAGGGACCATTCCGGAGAGTTCTCCCTGGTGTGGAAAATCCAAAGCTCAAGAGAGAGAGAGAGAGACAGACATACAGAGCCCTTGGAGCCCGGCGTCCTTAAAACCTTTCTGAAACAGGTGAGACATAGGTAAACATGTTCATTTAAAACAGAAGTCTCTTCGCAGAAACAGTTGCAAAGGAAAAACAAGGATCAGACACAGCTCTGGGTTGTGGGAAACATAGACAGAGATCAGAGAGTTGGAAGGAGTGTGAAAATGGGCCCACCTATACCTCAGAGAGGTTCCAGGTCGTACCCAGCCTACCCCCATCCCCCACTTCAGGGAGGTTCCAGAAAAGAACTCCACTCCAATCAGGTCACAATGGCAGGAGCGCTGAAGGGCCCGCGTCCCCAGCCCGTGAGCCAGGAGGAGAGGAGGAAGTCTAAGGAGAGATGGTGAGTGTGGGGGCTAGGTGTGCCTAGCACAACCCTCCGTCCCTGTAGCACCTGGCTGCTCTCCTCCCCACCTCTTGCTTCCCTAAAACTTCCCCGTGATCAGAGAGGCACATACAAATGAAAAAACTCTATCATGGGGTGCCCCCGTGCCCTGGAACCTGTGACATCACACAGACACAGCATCTGAGGCCACCTCCTCTTCCTCAAATCAACAGTGCATCCGTGGGTCCTCTTGTTCTCTTCTCAGGAATAACTTACCCAGGAAACCCCAGGTCCGCCCCCCTGCTTCCTGCTTTTGCGCCTCAAGGCCCACCTGAGTTATCCTTCAGGCCTTTCTAGCTTCCAAGAGTTCCTCGGCAAGAGAGCCTGCCCCCTGCCGCCCCACAGGGCCCTAGGACCCCCGCCTGGTGTTTGCCTTGTCCCTGGTCCCCGGGGCTGTGGATGCCCTCATGCCTGAGAACCTTTTCCCTAACAGGCCAGCAGTCACCCTTACTTCAACCTGCCCGACTTCACCCAGCCGTCACCACCCTCCACTCCACCCAGCCTCCCCTCCAACCAGCGATTCCGGCCTTCTGATGTCACCAAGGGGCTGCTCGTGGCCCTGCTGGGTGGGGGCCTTCCTGCTGGCTTCGTGGGACCCTTCTCCCGTATGGCCTACCAAGCTTCCCACTTGCCCTCACTGGAGCTGCTCATCTGCCGCTGCCTCTTCCATCTCCCCATTGCCCTGCTACTTAAACTGCGTGGCGACCCCCTGCTGGGTCCTCCTGATGTCCGGGGCCGGGCCTGCCTCCATGCCATCCTCAACGTTCTCAGCATTGGATGTGCCTACAGTGCAGTGCAGGTGGTGCCTGCTGGCAATGCTGCCACTGTTCGCAAAGGTTCTTCCACCGTCTGCTCGGCTCTCCTTGCCCTCTGCCTGGAGAGCCAGGGCCTCAGCGGCTACGACTGGTGTGGCCTTTTGGGCAGTACCCTGGGACTAATCATCATTGTGGGACCTGGGCTAGGAACACTGCAGGAGGGGACCACAGGTCTCTACACCGCCATGGGCTATGTGCTGGCTTTCTTGGGGGGTCTGGCGCTGTCTCTGGGGCTTCTGGTGTATCGCTCCCTGCACTTCCCTTCCTGCCTACCGACCGTGGCCTTCCTGTTTGGCCTGGTGGGGCTGGTGGGCTCCGTGCCGGGGCTCTTTGTGCTGCAGACACCGGTTCTGCCGAACGACCCCCTGAGTTGGAGTTGCGTGGGGGCGGTGGGGATCCTCGCCCTGGTCTCCTTTGTGTGTGTCAGCTATGCAGTCACGAAAGCCCACCCGGCCCTGGTGTGTGCTGTCTTGCACTCGGAGGTGGTGGTGGCCCTGATGCTTCAGTATTATGTGCTCTATGAGACAGTGGCACCTTCTGACATCATGGGGGCAGGAGTTGTATTGGGCAGCATTGCCATCATCACTGCCCAGAACCTCAGCTGTGAGAAGGAAGAGAAGAAGGAGGAGGAGTGAGATCACACTTGAGCACCTGGGGGTGGGGGTGGGGGCAGGGTAAATAGGAGGAGAGGCTGGAGTACATACAGGGAAGAACAGGTGACTGAAAAACAACTGGCATGGGAGAGGGACCACCCTCAGAGTCATGGGGTGACCAGACCTGGAGCAAATTTGGAGAACAAGACGTGGAGTCTAGGCTAGGTGGTGGGAACTACAAAGGGCATCATAAGGCGCAAGATCTGAGGAGCTGATCAAGGGACCTAAGGCTTTTGTGGGTTGAGGCAGGGTAGGATTGCCCTAGCAGCCTTGGGGTTGGAGTGTTTGGGGTGTTTAGAGCAAGCAGCAGGACAGGGGAGGAGGGGAGAGTGCCTTACCCCCTCCGGCCCCCCCACTCCATGCCGCAGCCCCACCCAGCCTGCTTGGTTTCACTTCTTCGTGGTTGTGTCCCCCTCCTTGGGCTGGCGCTGTGACATTGACATCAAACAAGGATCACTCTGAATGTGACTGTGGCGTCGGTGTCATCTGTTTGCGGGAACGTGGAAGTCCTACACCGCACTAACCGAAGAAGAATCCCTTAGGAATCCTCCAGTCTGATTCCTGAAACTCTTCTGGAAGGAGGAGGAGGTCCTCATATTCAGATTCTTTGACCCAGAATCCCCCAGGACTTTCGCGGCCCGCCCCGTGGCTAATCTGCTTTTCCCGGATGGTGGCGGTCCCATGATCTCTCCCGGACAGGGGCCGGCTTGCTTCGGGGGTCCGGCCTCTGAGCTGAGGCTTCTTCGAGCGGCTCCGGCCTGGTGTCTTGAGCCAAGACTCTGTACAGCGCTCCCCTAAAGGCAAAGCACACCCGTCTCCGAAGGCCGCTCGACAAAGATCGGCTACTTCCGGACCAGCAAAAGGCCTCGCCATCTTGATCTGTTTATGAATATTTAGCGAACTTACTGCATATTCATGATTGAAGACGGCCCCAGAACTGCCCCCACCCCCGGGAACCCACTGGAAAACCCGACCGGCCCCGCCTCCTTCATTACCGATTCGCAGAAGAGACCATTTTCTAGCTGGGGGAGGGGGGACATTTCATGAGAGACTTTTGCTGAAGATGAAATTATACTCCAAACGAATAAAAGTGGCCTGTATTTATTCTAGTTCCTTCAAGCTTTAAATCTCCGTGAGGGAGCGGGCAGCGAGGGAAGGAGGTGGGGTAAGAAATTCCCCTTCCCTCTGTCATTTCAAAAGATCGCCCTCCGCGGCAGCCGGGAAGGGACGATCAACGACGCGAGAGCGCGCCCCGTGCGGGCGGGCGCAAGCAGCCCCGTAGCGCAAGGGAGGGCGGGAAAGGAAGGGGCGGGGACGCAAGGGCGAGTCTATAAAGGGCGTCATTCAGCCAGTTCGCTCCTCAGAAGCGCGGAGAGCGCGGCCGGGACGGTTGGCGAGGAAGGCGGCTCCCGAGGGCGGGAGAGAAACTGCCGTAACTTCTGCCGTTCAGGAGCCCGGTTACTTATTTATTCGTTACCCTTTTTCTTCTTCCTTCCCCCAGAACCTTTTCCTTCCTCCCCTCTTTATTCCCACCCCCTTTTTTGGGAGACGAAAACCCTCCGGAAAGGAGGAACAGCTCCTTTCGTTCCTTTCCGTTTCCCCGCCTCCTTCCCTCCCCCATCTCTCCTCCCTCTGGCGTTTTCCTCCCAACTCGGGAGGTCCTTCCCGGTGGCCGCCCCGACGGGGTCTGAGCGCCTAGGCGGAGGCGGCGCAGGGTTTTTGTAGGGAGGTTTGCGCCTGCGCAGCGCGCCTGCCTCCGCGATGCACGGCGGGGGCCCCCCCTCCGGGGACAGCGCATGCCCGCTGCGCACCATCAAGCGCGTGCAGTTCGGAGTCCTCAGTCCGGATGAACTGGTAAGCGGCTCGGCCCTCCCACTCCTCCTCCCGCCCGCTCTTGCGGGCGGGGCTGGACGGTAGCTGCGGAAACGGGGTTTTTCTAGCTGCCTCACCTCACAGCCGCGCCGAAGGCAGTGCTGTCTCCTGCCTCGTGTCTCCCAGAGTTACATTTTGAGAGTCTGAGCAAGCTGGGTGCTGGCCCGGGAGAATCTTGGAGGAAGCTTGTAGAAGGGACTGGGAGGAGAGAAGGGGGGCTGATTGCACCCGAGCGGACGAATTTCGGGGAGCCTTTGCAAATTTGCATAGGAAGCCAAGCTCCAGATTTTTTCCTATTGAGCACGCCAGAGTTTTGCCCTCATCGCCCCCTTGACAAATAGTAATTGAGCCCCTCGCTTTGGTGGCGTAGTGGTTACACGAGTTAAGCTACCAACCGCAAGGTTCGCAGTTCAAAACCAGTAACCCTTCTGCGGGAGAAAGAGGAGGCTTTCTACTCCCGGAAGCAGTTACCATTTGGGACACGCACAGGGGTCCTCCGATCCTAACCTGTCGGTGGCTATGAGTCGAAGTGGACTAGATGGCAGTGAATTACAGCTACTGATGCTGGGGATACTGAGCTGCCTCGGACCTGAATCCTTTGGGAAGGGTTCAGGGAAACAGACAATAGCATATGAATAAATGAAGGAGCAAGATACTGTAGTTCATGTACCATGCATATAATAAAGCGGGGGTAATGGGTAGAAAGCCACTGAGATGGGAAGCCTTAGATGAGGAGGTTGGTGTCAGACAGGCAACCATCCCTGGCTGAAAGACGCCAGTGTGCCTGGGACGGAGGGCAACAGGCTGAAGGGAAGGAAAGGCAGACCAGATGGGATCTTGTCAGCATTTCCTAGGAGGAAGCCATTGGAGACGCAGGAGGGTGGCATAATCAAATGCTCATCTAAAACACAAAAAAAAACAAGTCCTGGGGTTGCCCTTGCCCAGGGAAGGATCCTAGGGGGTGGGATAAAAATAGAAACAAGAGGGGGGGCGGGGAATGGAAACAGGGAGAGGGTAGACCCTTGGGAGGGCTGTTGGTGACTAGGATTTTGTTTTTGCATAGCTAACATTCTCACCAATTGGCTGAGGAGAATGGCGTTAAACCCCCATGATGTGGACTGGGGGACCATTTTGCTGGGCAAGAGCTAAGCTGTGGAGTTAGAACGCCCTGACCTCACACCATGTCACAGGATACATTCCAGATGGAGCTAAGACTTAGATCTCAAAAACCTGAAGGGTTGGGTGGGGGAGGCTTTGGCGGACCTGACATCAGAGACAGAAATCCTAAGTAAGGAATGAATTACAGGTAAATGGTTCTGTGTGCCTACTATGTGCTGAACCAAGGAGCTCGGCATTTTGCATTCAAAAAGAGCAAGGCTGATTTCACGGTGTAAAAACTTAGTTTATGTGATAAACATGTTTATCAAAGATGCCACGGACAAAGCTAAAACAGATTGGGAAACGGTATTTGCATTGTGACATACAGTTAAATTTCTTAATACACAAATCAGTAAGAGAAGCATGTATCTAGTAGAAAAGTGAGAGGGGGATATGAATAGACCACAGAAATAGTACTGTAGTAGAAATGGGAAATATGTCATCAGCTTGCAAATCCAAGAAAGGCTTTAAAATGTAATTTTTCCCTTTCCCTGATTTCTCTCTGTTAACAAAAATACTGGGAAATGAATGTGCATGTTTAGACATTGTTGGTGTGGTAAACAAGTACACCTACTCATTTAAATGGAGCCTCATTTCTGACATTTCACATTTAGGACAATAGTAGGAGAATCTATGTTCACAATATTAATGACATACCTCGGGCAATTATGAATGCCGAGATGTTGCGTCGTTACGGTTATGCCTGGGTCCTGAATTTTCAGTGGTCTGCCAGTTAAGTGATGATGTTGTCATCCTTCATTTTTGCATAAGACGGATTTCCACGTAGCGACCTACTCTTTGGAACCTCACCGTGTCTCCGTAAATGCGTAGTGGGGGTATAACCTTTCCGGAGGACCCAGTCTCACATTTTTTATCAGTCTTGATTTCTGCATTTTCATGAGTTTATTAAAAATTCATGTCCCTTCTCCACTCTTACCTTGTTTTGTAAATGGCACTACCATTACTCAGGCAAAATCCCCCGCCCCCCCCAACCCAATCTAAAAGCCACCTTTAACTCGTCTTTCTCAGTCTCCACTCAGTTCATCTGCAAGCCTGTCAGTCTCCCTTTCCCAGTATGTCTGGAATCCAGCCTTTTGTGACCAGCCTCCATTGAGCCAGACACCTTTGGTTTGCAGAGGAGCTAGAGAGCATCTTTTCCTCTTGTTCCTTCCCTGCAGACTGCCCTCTCCAAAGGCTCCCCAATCCCTTAGATGTCGAACAAAGTGCAGACTCCTTCCTGGACCCCACTAGGTCCCTTATGACCTAGCCCTAGGCTTTCCTCATCTTAGCATTCTCCTCCAGGCCTTTTTAAGTGTTTTTTTTATTAACCACACCGACCTGCTTGTTGTTCCTCCAACCCAACCAGCTTATTTTTGCCTCCAGGACGTTGCTACTCACCTTCCTCCTGCTTGGAACAGCATTCCCTACCTGTTCCTTAGATGTCCACACACCACGGAGAGTGCAGCCCTGACCACCTTATTTAAAATAGCGTGCTCTTGGATTCCCTGGGTGGTGCTTAAAGGCTCAGTGCTCAGCTGTTGACAGAAAGGTTGATGGTGGTTAGTTCCCCCAGAAGTGCCTGAGAAGAAAGATCTGGTGACTTACTGATGAAAAATCAGACATTTGAAAACCTTACTGAGCACACATGTCTACTCTGACACACACAAAGTCGCTGTGAGCCCCCCTGTTCTCTGTTTTATTTTTCATCATAGCCTGTTAACCAGAAATGGCAAGTTTGATCTGTTTCTTGCTCCCTTGTCTGTATGACTCATCTCTGTTCCCTTGACACCTTGACTGATGACTAGCACAGAATGGACTTTAGTTGCCATATTGAATGCATTGAGATAATTGGGCCAGTACACAAATGTACATAGAGTCTTACTGTGGTAGTGTTTGAAGATGATGATACTAAACAATCTAGATACTTATTAATAGGGACCCTCTGAATAACTCGGGGTATAGTCTTAGAATAGACCAAGGTCTTCCAATGGGTTAAATCCACAGTTTCTGAACTGCTGACGTGCCCCTGGCAAGACGGCTGACTCACTAGGGTTCAGTGAGATATTTTAAATGTGGAGAAACACCAGCCACGTTTGTGGCTGCCCTGGGAACTGCGAGGTGGAGCCAGTGCCTTTCTTGATGATGTCATATTTGTGTGAAGCTGGATCTCAGCAGTTGCTAAGTACGTGGCAAAAATCAATGTGAAATGAGAGCAAGGTTGCTGCCGTCCAATTAAATTCCAAGATTTGAGAAGTTGGGCAATCAATACGTAACAAGTACTATTAGTAATTTGAGAAAGAAAAATGTTTTTTCAATTTTTGTGTCATTTTTTTCAAATGCTACTAAGCTGCTAAGGACAGAATTACAAATGAGTTGTTTGGCGCTGGCTACCTAACAATTGGATCTTTCAGGTGGCTGGCTCCCTTGGCGTGGAGGGTGCTGGGAAAGGTGCAGAGACACTAAGCGCATTGGAGGTAGCCCTGGTGGTGCTGTGATTAGCACTTGACTGATCAGCCTGATCAAACCCAGCAGCTAGGGCGGTCGTCTTCCATGAAGAAGCCGGTCGGTCTGGGGAACACCTGCGGGGCCGTTCTGCACTGCCCTGGGTTAGCTGTGACCCCACAGCCATGGTGAAGCGCCTGACGACCTGGTCCAGTGTGGCAGTCTCTGGGTTAAACTGAAAAGTCAACAGGATGAGACCTGACTTATCTTAATGCATTTTTTAAAAAGCTTGTAAGACTGGTCACAGAACTTGTAGGGATCATCTGCTGGGGCTCAGGTAAGCATGGGGCTGCTACCTTGTGGTCACTGGTTCAAACCTAGCAACCTTTCCATGGGAGAGAGAAGAGGCTGTTTTCGTAAAGATTTACAAACCCATGATACCAAGGGCTCAAGTAGAAATAAAATGTTTTGAGAATGATGATGGCAACAAATGTACAAATGTGCTTGGCACAATGGATGGATGGATTGTGATAAGAGTTGTACGAGCCCCCAGTAACATGATTAAATTTTTGTGTGCAAACCCTCTGCAGCCCTCTCACAGTGTTCTAAGAGTTGGCATCAACTCTATACTGGGTTGGTTGGGTTCCACTTTGGGTAAAGGGGCTATGAGAGCTGGCTGGAGATCCTTTTGTGAACAAGCGGTATTTAAGGTTGGGATAGTCTCAGGATCTTGGCGACGAGTGGATGCAGGAAGCTGTTAGAATTGCTGTGTTTGCGATTATAAAAGGTTTTCAAGTTGGGGGGAATGAGATGTGCTTGATTATTCCCAAAATTGATCCTCATTCATTAAAAGCCTTTATGCCTGCTGTGGGATGTATGACTTTATTCCCTAACTCATTCCAGCAAGGACTTGACGCCATAACACACTGCATTAGCTAGGGTGCAGGCGACATTGGTGACTCGGAAGATTACCCCTGTCTCCACAGAACTTAAAATCCAGTGATAGATTTCCTATACATACAGCAAATATATCTTCTCCACCTGTAAACAGTTCAGCACTTGACTGCTAATCAAATAGTTGGAGGTTCAAGTGTACTCAAAGGCATCTTGGGAGAAATTCTGGTGACCTGCTTGTAAAAACCAGCCATTGGAACCCAGTGGGGGAGGGTCATTCTGATGCACATGGGATGGTCCTGGACTGGAATCCGTTTCATGGCATTTTTATTTTTGTTTAACTTTTGTTCTTTTTGGTGCCATGTGCTGCCTACTCCTGGGCCCTGAGGCTATAAAGAGAAAACCACACACGATCCTTGCCCTCAAGGATGGCAGGGCCCTGCGAGAGACAAATGTACAAACAAACCTGTTGACAGGCACACTCTGGGCTATCGAGAGTGAGGAAGAGTGTGTGCCGACTAGAGGAAGGCGACCTCTGAGCAAGCACGTTAATGGATAGATGCTGCCTCAGAGGGAAGCACGCGAGCAGAGTGGACTCTGAGAAGTCGTTTGTAGTTGGATTGTGGTGTGTGTGTGTGTGTGTGTGTTTGAATACAGAAGCACATAAAGCTGCAAAAGTGGGTTGCTTCTGAAGGGGAAGGACCTTGACTGCTTTGCTGAAGGCCAAGGGGAGAGTAGAACTGTTGATTGAGAACCTTGTGCAGACAGGCTTTCTGTGCTGTGACCACAGCTTACACAGCTGGGACCTAGCCTGTGACCTGCCACCTCCGAAGCCTAACCTTCTAGACCACAGGCTCCTTTTTGGGAGAAAGCCTGGGCTCTCTGCTGCTACAGTCTCGGAAACCCAACAGGTGCAGTTGTACCCTGCCCTCGAGGGTAGCTCTGAGTGGGCATCGGCTCCCTGGCAGCGAGTTCTTGCTCAGGAGCCCTGTTGGCGTTGGCCTACTAACGACTAGCTGCTCATGGGAGAAAGATGCGGCTTTCCCATCTTTCGAGGTAGGAGTCCTGGACACCCAGGCCAGTTCTACTCTGTCCTGTGGGGTTGCTCTGAGCCAAGTCGACTTGATGGAACTTCCTTTGGGTTTGGTCCTCTTTCCAGAAAAAGAAAAAAGGAGTAATACCTACTACTCTTCTCCACACCCCACTGGATAATGAAAAACATTCGTACTGTTGGTTGCCCATAATCCAGGATAAAGTGTCAGTATCTGCTCTTTTCACCCCCTCCTAGATCATTCCAGCACCTTCCAGGGGCCGGTATTGTCTTCTTTGGAAAACAATGTTCCTAGACAAGGAGGAGACCAGTGTTGGTTGAGGGGTTAAAATTAAAATTGATGACAGAAGGATAGTCCTTCCCATCAACCTGGGCCTCTGTGTCTGCTGCTTAGACCCCTCCTCCCTGGCCTCAGAATACCTGGCCGTGGGGCTCGTAGTTTGCAGGGTGGTGCTGGGGGCTCGGAGAAGCGGAGGAGGATGAGCGTTGGCTGTCACAGGCAGCTACCTTCTGTGAGGGCCCCTTCCTGTCTTGGAGGGCGGTCAGCTGTTCAATTCAGGCTGATAAGCGTTTGCTGGCATCCAGGATGAATGAAGGTGGTGCCTGCCCAGCAGGAGCCTCTGATCTTTGAGGGGGACAGAGCCCTCAGAGAGGGGCCTGGGGAGAGCTCCCTGGAAGAAGACTACTTGAGCTGACTTGAGATGGAGATCTGTCCATCGGGAAAGGCGTTTCCAAGTGGGGACTTGGCCTGTGCGGGGATTGTGTTGCTGGCAAGTAAGCAGGGAGGTTTGGTGCATTGGAAAATGGCAGTAGGAATGTCATAAGGCACTTTGCCATTGCCTGGGGTTGGGCGTCATGAAGACTAGGACGTGAATGGTCAGGCGGAGTGTGCTGTGGGTGGACTGGGAGGGTAAGGCTGACCCAGGAGACACGAGTTCACCGCCTGAACGGGGACATTGGAGGAGCAAGATGCCAAGCCTAGTGGGCAGGTAAAAACGACGTGGACTTGGAAAAAGATTAGATAATAACAACAGCTGCCTTTTCTTTGGGCTTCAGCGAGCTAACCCCGTCCCGATGGCTGTGTAGTGTGTAACGGAGCTGGAGCACTTCCGAAGAGGGGCTTCGGACTCTTTCAACTGTGCGCTGGAGTCTCGCTTTCTGCCATGAGTGCCACCTCCTCAGCAGAGGTTTCTGTGGAAAAGAGAATTGACTTTCAGACAAATCCAATTTGAGCTGTCTGTGGACTGCCTGCCTAGGGCTCCCAGATCGTGGGGAAATGTGTGTCCAAAGCAGCACAAGAGCTGGGACCTGCAGGGAGACATTTGGGAGTCGTCAGTAGGTATGTGGAAATCAGAAAGGGTGAGCTGAGAAGTCCACCTCCAGCCTATGGAACAGCAGAGGGGTCTGGGAGGGAGACTTGAGGCGCGTGTGTTGTGGAAGCGGAGGGAGAACCCCGCAAGCAAACAAAGCTTTCGTCTCCAGTGCGTCACTTGAGCAGCAGAGAGGCCTGCGACCGACCGGCTGCAGGCTTGGCAGAATGTCGCTCATCAGCCTCTGAGGTGGCTTCCGTGACATGGCAGTGGGAGGCGATATCTGGCGAGAACGCTGTTTTGCCGATGCGAATTCACTCATCCTCCCCCAGCATGATGTAGTCAAAGCAAACAGACAGGGCTTTCGATCGCTCCACCACTTCTAGTTGCGTGGCCGTGGGCCTGTCAAGTGTATAGTACGGACAAGGAGACCTTGACGTTTCTTTGTGAGTGTGTGGTGGAGTGAGCATCAGCCAGCACTGGGCTTGGCACCGGGAAGATGCTAAATTTATTCTAGAGGAGCGGTTCTCAATCTGGACCGCGACCCCTTTGGGGTTGAACGATGCTTTCACAGGGCCGCCCAATTCATAACAGTACCAAAATGACAGTGATGGAGTAGTAATGAAAATAATTTTATGGTTGTGTGGGGGTCGTGGCGACATTAGGAAGGTTGAGAACCACTCTTGTAGAGAGTACAGTCATTATTTACGCCACAGCCTGGGGGAGATGGGGTGAGCATGTGTGAGGACAGGGAGGCTGGCATTCCATTTCCAATGGCGCCTTTCTCAGGAGGCATTGGCAGGTTACCTTGGGCAGTTTCAGGTTTCTCGACTAGAAAAAAAGCCTTCGTTCCTTCCTGTGGGGTTCATGGTTCAGATTAGAGAGAGAATATGTATGTCCATCTTAAATTCCAGCTCCAAGGAAAACGTACCTGTCCGCTCTTCCTCCTGGGAGGGTGGGGGACCACAGCCCAAGAAATTAAAAACCCTTGGCTTTCACGTGGGCAGATACTAAAGGCCACTTTGCCAGCCTGCCCCCCAGGGCTGCAGAGTCTGCGACCCCTCGTCCATCTTTGTCAGCGTCTGAGCGTGTGTTCCTCCGCTTCACTCGGTTGACACTGTGCTTCCTGCTTCCTTTCCGCAGCATTGCAGCCACTGGCTCAGTCCTGAGGCACCTTGGTCTGCCCCGGTCCAGTTAGTTTCCCTCCCCTGTCTGCCCAGGAAGAACCTGGTGGGGCAGTGGTTGCATGTTGGGTCAAAACCACCAGCAGTTCCAAGGGGGAAACACTGGGCTCTCTACTCCCGTCCTCAGTGACAGACTCGGGAGCTCACCAGGGGCGCTCGATGGCAGTGAGTCAGCCTAGGGTGGCACCAGCGTGGTTGCATCTTGGGCTGCTAACCACAAGATCATCCTTGGGAGACAGATGAGGCTGTCTGGCCCTGTAAAGTGACAGTCTCAGAATCCATCCGGTGGCTGTGGGTTTGGAGTCTGGGTGCTCCTGGCACCCAGTTCTCTTGCCTTATGATGTTCTCATCCACACATGGAAGGGTTTAGTCAGGTCAGACCTCGGAGAAAAAGTGGCCCGGATGAAGCGAAGAGGCAAGTCTGTGTTCGCCCAGTGCTGGATTCCTCTTTGGGAGCAGAAGGGCTAGAGTTAGAAGGACAGGTAGGCTGTCATACCACCAGGTGGACAGCTGGCGACTCAGAGTTTAGACTTGATGTCCAGTTTGGGGGAGAAGTAAAGTGTTGCTCACACACCACCCCCAGCAACTTTGTATTTCTTGTGGTAAAGCCTGTGCCTGGGACGTGATGTAGACTTCAAGAGAGAGGGTCGTCTTGGGCTCAAGTCCTAGAGGTGGTCCTCTGTAAATAGTTCAAGGGGAGAATTCCCTACTCCGACCCAGACAGGGACCAGAACCAGCTTTTGGTTTAGCATTTGCCGAAAAGACAGCCGTCCCTGATGACACTCCCCTTGGGGTACACTGGGAACCATACTTAGTTGCTGTGCTTTTTTTTTGGTCTCTTCCCCCGACAGAAGCGGATGTCTGTGACAGAGGGTGGTATCAAATACCCAGAGACGACGGAAGGAGGCCGCCCCAAGCTTGGGGGGCTGATGGACCCACGGCAGGGAGTGATCGAGAGGACAGGCCGCTGCCAAACGTGTGCAGGTAAGGCCTGGGGGCATTGTTACCTGGGCAGACTCTTGTGGGGAAGGAGGGTAGCTTGCAGAAAGCCGGGGCTAAGGGTAGACACCCGAGAGGCTTGGTCTCTGAGGTGTGTGGAGCTGGAATGGAGGAATGTCAGCCGTGTGCTCCCCCAGGAAACATGACGGAGTGTCCTGGCCACTTTGGCCACATTGAGCTGGCCAAGCCTGTCTTCCACGTGGGCTTCTTAGTGAAGACCATGAAGGTCCTGCGCTGTGTCTGCTTCTTCTGCTCCAAACTGCTCGTGGACTCTGTGAGTAGTTGAGGGGCCCTGTGGCAGGGGAGCTGCTTGGTGGACGGTGGGGGGGCAAGCCCAACTGCCCTTTCTCTGCTGTTTACAGAACAACCCGAAGATCAAGGACATTCTGGCCAAGTCCAAGGGACAGCCCAAGAAGCGACTCACACACGTCTATGACCTTTGCAAGGGCAAAAACATCTGTGAGGGCGGGGAGGAGATGGACAACAAGTTCGGTGTGGAGCAGCCCGAGGGAGATGAGGATCTGACCAAAGAGAAGGTGGGTGGGGCTGCGGCTGAGGAAACGAGCTACAAAGGAGATGGAGGAGTGGCAGGGGCTGGACTGGCCCAGGCTGAGGGTGGCAGGGGGTAGTTCTTAGCCCTGGCTCTAAGGGCTGCCCTCTTTCCTCGGAAGGGCCATGGCGGCTGTGGGCGCTACCAGCCCCGTATCCGGCGTTCGGGTCTGGAGCTCTATGCGGAGTGGAAGCACGTCAACGAGGACTCTCAGGAGAAGAAGATCTTGCTGAGCCCCGAGCGCGTGCATGAGATCTTCAAGCGCATCTCCGATGAGGAGTGCTTTGTTCTGGGCATGGAGCCCCGCTATGCGCGGCCGGAGTGGATGATTGTGACTGTGCTGCCGGTGCCCCCACTCTCCGTGCGGCCCGCTGTTGTGATGCAGGGCTCGGCCCGCAACCAGGTCAGCCTCTCGGGCCTCAGTCTCTCCCCCAGGTGACTGGGTCTGGAGGCAGGAAGCCACAGGTGGGGTGCCTAGATTGATGGGCAGAGGCCTCTGCTTTGGAAATGTCACCCACTAGCCAGGTGGCTGGCAACAAGGTCCTTCAGCCCAGCGCGCTGCCTTCTCTGGGAAAGGCCAGCCCCGGGGGTGCGTCGGGGTGGGCCAGCTCTGAGTGCTCCCTCCCTGGTGGTGGCTGTGATGGTGGTGACTTTGGCCTTCCTCAGGATGACCTGACGCACAAGCTGGCCGACATCGTGAAGATCAACAACCAGCTCCGGCGGAATGAGCAGAACGGCGCAGCAGCGCACGTCATCGCCGAGGACGTGAAGCTCCTGCAGTTCCACGTGGCCACCATGGTGGACAACGAGCTGCCTGGCTTGCCCCGTGTGAGTCTGCGCGTCCCCAGGCCCCGGGGAGAAGGGTGGGGCGGGAGGCTGGAGGCCTCGGTGCTGGTGGAGAGGTCAGTGCTAATTTCTGAGGGCTCCCATGCCCGTTTTCCTCACAGGCCATGCAGAAATCTGGGCGTCCCCTCAAGTCCCTGAAGCAGCGGTTAAAGGGCAAGGAAGGCCGGGTGCGAGGGAACCTGATGGGCAAGCGTGTGGACTTCTCGGCTCGCACGGTCATCACCCCCGACCCCAACCTCTCCATCGACCAGGTCGGCGTGCCCCGCTCCATTGCCGCCAACATGACCTTCGCAGAGATTGTCACACCCTTCAACATTGACAGGTGCGCCCACTTCAGAAACCCTGCTCTGGAGCAGTGTGGGGACTGGAGCCCAAGGGTGAGGCCCTGCTGCTGCTTTCTCGGCCTTGGGCGATGGGCTCTGGTGGGAAGGCAAGGGGCTCTGCAAGTCGAAGGCTGGATCTTCACTCTCACTCATGGCCTTGAGGTGCGGTGGGTGGTCACAAGGGTTTGTGGGCAACATTTTGTTCATGGCGTCTCTTTTCTGGCTAGACTTCAAGAACTAGTTCGCAGGGGGAACAGCCAGTACCCAGGGGCCAAGTACATCATCCGAGACAACGGGGATCGCATTGATCTGCGTTTCCACCCCAAGCCCAGCGACCTTCACCTGCAGACCGGTTACAAGGCACGTAGCAGGGGGGTCTGTGAATGGGCACAGGCCGGGGTTGGGCATCAGAGGCTGGCCTGTTCATGAGGTGCCAGGCATGCCCATACTGTCTGCCGCTGACATTCCACGGGGCTGTCCCATGACCCCCGGGGAAGCCTGGGGTTTTCCAGAGGGCAGGAAGGGCTTTGACAGAAAGCCTCATGTTGTCTGTCCTCAGACTGAGTTTCTTGAAATTGAGGGACCCCGGTACCCTGGTGTCTGCTATTGCTGCACACGAACTAACTCCACAGCAGTATATATTTGCTTCTACAGAGCAGTGTAGGTCCCTGGTCGTTTCATTCATTCCATCCCTCTTCCCTAAGACGTTTTCCGCCCCTCACCGCCCTAGGTGGAGCGGCACATGTGCGACGGGGACATTGTTATCTTCAACCGGCAGCCGACCTTGCACAAAATGTCCATGATGGGGCACAGGGTCCGCATCCTCCCCTGGTCGACGTTTCGCTTGAATCTTAGGTCAGCCCCATGACGGAGGGAAGCAGCTGGGAGCAGTGGGCCGGGGTGGGGCTGCCCTCCAACTTCGCTGGGAGCATGTACCCAACCCGGCTTCCTCTTCCTCTCTCTTGCTGCAGTGTGACCACCCCGTACAATGCAGACTTTGATGGGGACGAGATGAACTTGCACCTGCCGCAGTCCCTGGAGACGCGAGCAGAGATCCAGGAGCTCGCCATGGTCCCCCGCATGATTGTCACCCCCCAGAGCAACCGCCCGGTCATGGGCATCGTGCAGGACACACTCACAGCAGTGCGCAAATTCACCAAGAGAGACGTGTTCTTGGAGCGGGTATGAGACCCCAGAACTGGAACCTGGAGGCTGGGCCCGGGCAGCAGGTCCCTGGGTGGGTAGGGAGAGGGGAGAAAGCACCCCTGTGATGTTGTGCGCTTCGGCCCTGAGACTGCCCTTCTGGTAAGGTGGAAGGAAAGCGGGTTAGGGGAAACTGGGTACCTCTAGCACATTACTAAATTCCTTAACATTTCATGTAATTCTGAAATTCCAGGTGTTATTTGTAAAGGAAAGGTGAAGGGAATAATAAATGACCTTGTTGAAATTTTTATTTAGCTATTTATTTACTCTTACCTTCATGTGTTGCCTTATTTTCTAATTATGAAAGTAACTCCTTGTTTAAAAACAACGTCCGGTTATTTAAGATTTGAAAATACTTTTCCTGGCGACCCTTTGCTTCCAGTGTCTGGCGGTCCCTCCGCTGACATTGTGAGAACTGGAACCTGGAGTCCCGACTCCCCCATTGTCCCCTCCTCGCACAGGGAGAAGTGATGAACCTCCTGATGTTCCTGTCTACCTGGGACGGGAAGGTTCCCCAGCCGGCCATCCTCAAGCCACGACCCCTGTGGACAGGCAAGCAGATCTTCTCCCTCATCATTCCCGGCCACATCAACTGCATCCGGACCCACAGCACCCATCCTGATGATGAGGACAGTGGCCCTTACAAGCACATCTCTCCTGGGGACACTAAGGTAGAGGCTAACTTCTAGACACGGGGGCAGGATTTGGCCACAGGTCAGAACCAGGCCTCTGAATCGGTGCTTTGTTCCTAGGTGGTGGTGGAGAATGGGGAGCTGATCATGGGCATCCTGTGTAAGAAGTCTCTGGGCACGTCAGCCGGCTCCCTGGTGCATATCTCCTACCTTGAAATGGGCCATGATATCACGCGACTCTTCTACTCCAACATTCAAACCGTCATTAACAACTGGCTCCTCATCGAGGGTACGAGCTGGAGTGCTACCAAGCCCCCTGTGCAGTGTGTCTCCCTGCTTCTTACTGCCCTTCCTCCTTGCGCCTGCCTTCTTGGATTTGGGGTTCCTCCATCTGCTCTTTGGGCTACATTTCCAGAGAAGCTAAAGGGGTGCTCTTGATATTTCTTCTTTCTAGGTCATACCATTGGTATTGGGGACTCCATTGCTGATTCTAAGACGTACCAGGACATTCAGAACACTATTAAGAAGGCCAAGCAGGATGTAATAGAGGTGAGAGGGAAGATGGGGCAAAGACCGAATCAGAAGAATCTGAGGACTTGAACCTACCATCAGCCAAGGCAGGGGTGGGGTGTGAGGGCCCGAGGAAAGGGAAGCAGGCAGGGGCTAATGTCTCACTTAGAGCTCTGCCTCATTTTTTGCCCACCCAGGTTATCGAGAAAGCCCATAACAATGAGCTGGAGCCCACCCCAGGGAACACTCTACGTCAGACCTTTGAGAATCAGGTCAACCGTATTCTCAATGATGCCCGAGACAAGACTGGTTCCTCTGCTCAGAAATCCCTTTCGGAATACAACAACTTCAAGTCTATGGTGGTGTCTGGAGCTAAAGGCTCCAAGATCAACATCTCCCAGGTGGGGATCCTTGTCTTTTCAGATACAGGGTCACAAGATTGGAAGGAGGAAGCCAGGTGTGTTGGGTGGCAGGCGCTGGAGAAGAATATTGAAGACGCTCATTCCTTAGCACACGGGAGCTCAGCCTGCCCCTGCTCTTCCCTGCTCCAGGTCATTGCTGTTGTCGGGCAGCAGAACGTGGAGGGCAAGCGGATCCCATTTGGGTTTAAGCACCGGACTCTGCCTCACTTCATCAAGGATGACTATGGGCCTGAGAGCCGAGGCTTCGTGGAGAATTCCTACCTGGCTGGTCTCACACCCACCGAGTTCTTCTTCCATGCCATGGGCGGTCGTGAGGGGCTCATCGACACAGCTGTCAAGACCGCTGAGACAGGTGAGCCCTGTAGATCCTGCGCCCTGCCACGGGCTTGGTACCAGGGGTACCACAGGCTGAGAAGCCAAGATCGAAGTTCAGTTCTGGGCATGTCTAGAAAGGGTGGACGTGACACGCTTCAGAGTTTGGTCGATGACCCTCGTTCCGACTGCTGTGCAGCTGCACCCTGCGGTGCAGAGGCTCTGCTCTGGGCCCATCACGTGGGGCTTCTCCTGGGCCCCATTGTAAAGCCCTCAGGGCCGGGGTCTACCCTCCCCCGGGGAGAGCTGGCTCTTCTGCTGCCTGTGGGGATCAGGAAGACTAGACCCCAGCCTCACCAGCTGCCTGCTGAGGTCAGAGAGGCTCTTTGGGCATGCCATGGCCATCCTCTGCCCGCGGGGCCTCCCCTCAGGGTACATCCAGCGGCGGCTGATCAAGTCCATGGAGTCGGTGATGGTGAAGTACGACGCGACGGTGAGGAACTCCATCAATCAGGTGGTGCAGCTGCGCTATGGCGAGGACGGCCTGGCTGGCGAGAGCGTGGAGTTCCAGAACCTGGCCACCCTGAAGCCTTCCAACAAGGCTTTCGAGAAGAAGTGAGGAGGAGGGTGGGAAGGTGGGGGGTGTCTTCAGAGTGTCCCCTCTTCCTTCCCGAGCAGAGAGACGGCCTTCCCTTTTAGAGTATTGTCCTCACGCCTCTGAGAGCAGAAGGGCTGGGGGGGGGGGTGTTGGGTCAGAGTGCACAGGTGAGCCCATATCCTGCTTTGATCCTGATGGTGGCTGAAAGCTAGCCCAGGGGTGGGCCCACACACCCAGCTCCCCTTGGCAGCCAGGCTTTCCGATCACCTCACCTAGGATTCCTGCCCCTGAGCCCTGTTCCCATGGGTCTGCCACTCTGGGATCCTCACTGTGCACCTTGGAGGACGTGGGAGCACTCTTGTCACCCTGTGCCGACGGGCACCCTCCTCCATTCAGGTTCCGCTTTGACTACACCAACGAGCGGGCCCTGCGGCGCACCCTGCAGGAGGAGCTGGTGAAGGACGTGCTGAGCAACGCGCACATCCAGAACGAGCTGGAGCGGGAGTTTGAGCGCATGCGCGAGGACCGCGAAGTGCTTCGGGTCATCTTCCCCACTGGCGACAGCAAGGTGCGTGTGGGCGGGTGAGTGTACCTGCTCCTGACTGGTCCCTGCCCATGATCCCGGATGGATCTTCCTTCTGTTCCCCGCCCACAGGTTGTCCTGCCCTGTAACCTGCTGCGCATGATCTGGAACGCCCAGAAAATCTTCCACATCAACCCACGCCTTCCCTCTGACCTGCACCCCATCAAGGTGGTAGAGGGTGAGTGACCTCCTCAGTGAGTGGGTGGGGGACAAGGGCCTGCTGAGCCCTGGTTCGACCATCTCTTCGCCCTGCATTTGGGCCCAGGAGTCAAGGAGTTGAGCAAGAAACTGGTGATTGTGAATGGGGATGACCCTCTGAGCCGACAAGCTCAGGAGAATGCCACACTGTTGTTCAATATCCACCTCCGGTCCACGCTCTGCTCCCGCCGCATGGCTGAGGAGTTCCGGCTCAGTGGAGAGGCCTTCGACTGGCTGCTTGGGGAGATCGAGTCCAAGTTCAACCAAGCCATTGTGAGTGTTGTGTTTTCATCCCATCCTTGGTTTTCTCTCTTGGCCCATAACGTCTTTGAGCTCCTAGAATAGCCCAGTTCAGCCTGCACTCACCTGCCAGTCACTGTCATTCCCTGAAAGGCTTTTTTGTGCCAGCCTGTGCCTTTGTGTCGTGGCAACCTTGGAAACCTTGCAAGAGGAGGGTTGTTGATTCCATGCTGCCAGGCAAAACCCGAGGCGTGGAGAGGTTGTGTGACTATATTGTATCCCAGGGGGTGTCATGGCTGGGATTTGAATTGGAATTACCGTTATTTTCAGTGTCCTGTGCAGAATTCTGATTCAGATGGTGGTAGGGAAGAAACATAGATATATTAGGAAACATTACCACTGCCTTTAAGAATGTTATGGATACAACGGAAACCTGGGTGAAGGGAAACAGTGGATGGTGTCAGATGAAAAAAGTTTGTAATTTATCGAGGATTTATAAGGGTGGGAGGGGAAAAATGAGCTGATACCAAGGGCTCAAGTAGCAAAAATGTTTTGAAAAGAATGATGGCAACATATGTACAAATGTGCTTGACACAGTGGATGTTGTAAAAGCTGGAAGGCCCCCCCCCCCACCAAAACAATTAAAACAACAATAAAAGGAATGTTATGGATAAAGGGAGAGGGAAAAGTATAATATGGCTCGCCGTGGGGTCCACTTAATGTCAATTTGTTAAATTAGCGAGGAAGCCGTGGGGGCAGCTGCAGAAGGTTGCAAGGTGAGGGGAAGACCTCCGCACCCACGGGGATGGTAATCGAGACAGCCGGCACGTTTATGGCCATGTGGTTTCTGAGGGCCGCGAAGCCGGGGAAGAGGGAGAGGGGTGGTTCTTCAGTACGTGGCGCTGAGACAGCTGGGCATCCACATGCAAAACGATGAAGTTGAGCCCGTACCTGACAGCCTACTCAAAACAACTGGAATTGGATGTGAGAGTTAAAACGGCATACAGAGAGCGTAGAAGAAAATATAGTTCTGGTTTTCTTGACCTTGGATCAGGCAGTGGTTTTGTAAATGATACGAAACGCCTAAGAGCCAAAGAGAAGAAATTTGACTTTATCAAAATTTAAAATCTGGTATTCGAAAAAGAAACCATTTAGAAAGTGAAAAAACAACCCACTGAATGGGGAGAAACATTGTAGTTATGTAACTAACGAGATCTGTGGCCAGAATATATCACACCTAAGCCTTGGACGTCAACAATAAAAGGGGGAAATGCTTGGGACAGCTTTTGTCCAGATACAAACAGATGGTCAATTAGCTTGTGAGGAGATGTCAGCCTCATTAGCTACCAGAGAAATGCCAATCAAAAGCCACACTTAGCCTATTTCACACTCATTAGGATTGCTGAGAACGGGGAGAAACTGGGACTGTTAAGTCTAGCTGAGGGAGGAGGGGTGCTTCCACTTGGAAAGGAGTCTGAGGGTCCTCACACTGTTGAGCACAGGGCTCAAGTTACCGTGTGACCTCACAGTCTCACTGGCAGGTGAGCGAACTGGAGACATGTTCACCTAGCAGCAGCAAGTCCACAGCGCATGGCTCAGAGTGGCCACGCTGGTGAACGGCAGGCGGATAAGCAAGATGCAGGTCTGGACCAGTGAAGACTGTGAGCTCTCAAACCGTAGACATCAGCCGGAACCCCCGCAGCGACCCTCTCTTGAGATTCTGAAGCTACAGACCTTCCCAGGGGCATGTGGTAGGCTTGAAAGCTCAAATTTGCAGGTAGCTGTCCCAATACTTACGTGACAGCATCTCTAGGACTCCTAGACAGGCATAGACACCCTTATGTGCATGTGACTAAAGAAAGCCGTCTGTAAGGGAATACTTAACTGTGATTCCCAACTAAAAGGGTAAAGTTTATGCCATGTGCTTATATCTCAATTTTTAAAAAATAATTTTATTGGGGGTTCTTAACAGCTCTTATCACAGTCCATACATGCATCCATTGTGTCAAGCACATTTAGTTTTTTTGTTTTGCTTTGTTTTTGTTTTTTTAATTTATTGGGGTCTCACAACTCTTATCACAATCCATACATACATCAATTGTGTAAAGCACATTTGTACATTCATTACCCTCATCATTCTCCAAACATTTGCTCTCCACTTAAGCCCTTGGCATCAGCTTCTAAGTTTTCCACCTCCCTCCCCCTTTCCTCATGAACGGTTGGTCATTTATAACTATTTTTGCCATATCTTACACTGCCAGACATATGTACAATGTGCACATGTTGCCACCATCGATTTATCTCAATTTTTAAAAACCTTAAAGGGCGTAGGAAGACGAGAATACTAGTAATGCAGTAACCCGCAACACTCATTGTGTTGAGGTTAATTGTCATGTTGATAATAGTGTGGCAGATGTAACAACACTGATCAGTTTGTGTGGAAATTGTCCTTTGCCAGCAGTGCTGCAGTACGTACTCACTCTCTGCCGGCCTGTTGGTTCTGACGCAGCCAATCCCACAGGACAGGCTTGAATTGCTCCTTCAGAGCAGCTGGTGGGTTTGCGTCTCCAACCTTGTCATCCACATCAGAGTGCTTTAACCACTGTGCCACTGTTAGACAAATTCGGCACCCTTATTTAGAAGACTGCTGCAGAACGAAAACGTGCCCTGTCATTTGAGCATGTTTCCCTCTCCCAGGTTTGGGTTTTAGGTCTCAGTGGGATGTGGGGATGTAGCTAAATGGTTTGCTGTCAACAGAGCTCTAGGCCCAAGCCCATCTGCCCAAGTTTCTTGCGCTCAGAGCCCGGGTGGGCCCTGGCTGTGTCTGATTCAAGGAGCACGAGCACTCGGCTGTCTCTGATGCAGTGTCCCGTCCTCCGCAGGCCCATCCTGGGGAAATGGTGGGAGCTCTGGCCGCACAGTCCCTGGGGGAACCTGCCACCCAGATGACCTTGAACACCTTCCACTATGCCGGGGTGTCTGCCAAGAATGTGACGCTGGGTGTGCCCCGACTCAAGGAGCTCATCAACATCTCCAAGAAGCCAAAGACCCCCTCCCTCACTGTCTTCCTGCTGGGCCAGTCTGCCCGAGACGCCGAGAGAGCCAAGGTAGGCGGGCTGGGGGGTTGGTGAGCTTAACAGATGGACAAAGGTGAACTTGTCCGCTGAGCAAGAGGATTTTGAGGGTTTGAAGTGGTCTTTGGGGTTCCAAGAATGCCTGCTCCTTCCCAGGACATCCTGTGTCGCCTGGAACATACCACATTGAGAAAGGTGACTGCCAACACAGCCATCTACTATGACCCCAACCCACAAAGCACGGTGGTAGCGGAAGACCAAGAGTGGGTGAATGTCTACTATGAGATGCCTGACTTTGATGTGGCCCGGATCTCCCCCTGGTTGTTGAGGGTGGAGCTGGACCGGAAGCACATGACAGACCGGAAGCTGACCATGGAGCAGATCGCTGAAAAGATCAATGCTGGTGAGGCGGGCAGGCAGATCCAGCTTGGGCTCAGCCCTGGGCTCCCACCACTGGTGTGTACACGTCCCTCTAGGCCAGCAGTCCTCAACCTGTGGGCTGCGGCCCCTTTACTGGTGAACAGCCCTTTCACAGGGGTCGCCCAATGCATAACAAAGGCAAAATTACAGTGATGAAGTCGCTATGAGAATAATTTTGTGGTGGTGGTGGGGTCACCACAGCATGAGGAACTGGATTAGGAAGGTGGAGAACCACTGCTCTAGGCCACCTTCCGTGTACTGGGTCTATTGCTCCCAGAAATCTTTCCAGGGTGCCTGCTCCTCAGCCTGCAGTGTATCCAGTTCCCCGGGGCATGCCCACTGTCCTTGGTGTCAACCTCCTCTCTAGAGGGGCCAAGGGAAGAGTTCCGAGTGACTAGGGGCCAGGGACAGGTCAGTTGAGTGTGGTCTTTCTTAGGGGTCACCCTTCTTCCTGCCAGGCTTTGGTGATGACCTGAACTGCATCTTTAACGACGACAATGCTGAGAAGCTTGTGCTCCGGATCCGGATCATGAACAGTGACGAAAATAAGATGCAAGAGGTGCGTAGGACCCAAGAAGAAATCACTGTGTCAGCCCAGAAAGATGCCATTTGTGCCCAAAGAACTGTTAGATGCCCCATCTAATGACAAAATGGAAGGTAGTGGGAAGCAATGGTTTATCCATTTTTTTACAGCAAAAATCCTTGAAATCCGAAGCCGTAGAGGCCAAACGGATCAAAGAGGTGGTGCTGAGTCCCCACCTCTCTGTGACTCGACTTCTTCCCTCCCGGGGCTCCTGTAGCTTTTTCTTGGCAGGCAGTCCCAGCGGGCAGCGCAGGGGCAGCGTGCCCTTGGGAAAGTGGGGAGAACAAGAACCCATGAAAATGTTTGGTCACAGAGCTCACTCCTGGGCCCCTAAGAGAGGATTGTTCTTGGTTAAGCCCCAGGGCCAGAGGAGGAAGGGCTGGGTGCCTGGCTCTAGCTGCAGATGAACGTGTGTGGACGGAGCCAAATCCTCGAGAGGACCTTGCACAAAAGGAATTTGGTTAGGAGGGTGGGATGTGGGTGCCCCTTCTTAGATTTGTTTTTGTTTTTTTCTGAAACACTACTTTTAAAACATGATCAGCTCGCTCACTGGGTCTGAAGAGGGCATCAAGGCTGGGGTTTGGGGCGAGAGCTGGGAGAGGCCTGGGATTCCCGGCTGAAGCCCTCCCCCCTTGTGGCAGGAGGAGGAGGTGGTGGACAAGATGGATGATGACGTGTTTCTGCGCTGCATCGAGTCCAACATGTTGACGGACATGACCCTGCAGGGCATCGAGCAGATCAGCAAGGTCAGCCCTTCCCCTGCAGCCTCTTGCCCCCACCCCCTCGCCCCCCTGCCAGCCTGACCGAGCTCGCCCTCTCCCCTCAGGTGTACATGCACCTGCCCCAGACGGACAACAAGAAGAAGATCATCATCACGGAGGACGGGGAGTTCAAGGCCCTGCAGGAGTGGATCCTGGAGACGGACGGCGTGAGCCTGATGCGCGTGCTGAGCGAGAAGGACGTGGACCCCGTGCGCACCACGTCCAACGACATCGTGGAGATCTTCACGGTGAGGGGCCAGGGCTGCGCTCCCCTGGCACCCAGACTGCAGCTGCCACGACTTCCGTGTGCAGATGTTGTTAGACTCCGAGTCCACCTCAGAGTCTGGCACGCTGACCCGTGGCTCCCTGCTGTGGGGACGTGGTGCTGACCGCCTCCCTCCACTGCCAGGTGCTGGGCATTGAGGCCGTGCGGAAGGCCCTGGAGCGGGAGCTGTACCATGTCATCTCCTTCGACGGCTCCTACGTCAACTACCGGCACTTGGCTCTCCTGTGTGACACCATGACCTGCCGTGGCCACCTCATGGCCATCACCCGGCATGGTGTCAACCGCCAGGACACGGGACCTCTCATGAAGTGCTCCTTTGAGGAGACGGTAATGGCAGAAGCGCTGAGCAGGGCGAGGGGCGCCAGTGGGGTACACTGGGAAGTGAAGTGGGCAGTGGGCACTAGGGCCGAGGGTCTCAGGGTGCCCGATTCTGGCCCTTCAGGTGGACGTGCTCATGGAAGCCGCAGCACACGGGGAGAGTGACCCCATGAAGGGGGTCTCGGAGAACATCATGCTGGGCCAGCTTGCCCCCGCTGGCACCGGCTGCTTTGACCTCCTGCTCGATGCCGAGAAGTGCAAGTACGGCATGGAGATCCCCACCAACATCCCCGGCCTGGGGGCTGCTGGACGTGAGTACGGGGCCTCCCCGCAGAGGACTGACTCGGCTGGGGGAGTCTGGGGGTGCTAGCCCCTGGTGCTCTGCTCTGTAAGTCACTGCGCACCTTGTTCCAGCCACCGGCATGTTCTTTGGCTCCGCGCCCAGTCCCATGGGAGGCGTCTCTCCTGCCATGACGCCCTGGAACCTGGGTGCGACTCCAGCCTATGACGCCTGGTCCCCCAGTGTGGGTAAGTGGGCCCAGCTGGGCGAGCCGAGGCCCCAGAGGGGGAGGCTCAGGGAGAGATGTGGAGGCAGGTGGGCTTTAACCGGTTTCTCCCCACAGGGAGCGGGATGACCCCAGGGGCTGCCGGCTTCTCTCCCAGCGCTGCTTCAGATGCCAGTGGTTTCAGCCCTGGCTACTCCCCCGCCTGGTCTCCCACACCAGGCTCCCCTGGCTCCCCGGGTCCCTCAAGCCCGTACATCCCCTCGCCAGGTACGTGGGTTCCGTCTCTCCTTTTCTCCTTGCCCCTTCCTCCCAGGTAAGCCTCCGCAGCCCTCTAACTTCTCTGTTGCCTTCCTTTGCCCAGGCGGTGCCATGTCTCCCAGCTACTCGCCAACATCGCCTGCCTACGAGCCCCGATCTCCAGGGGGCTACACGCCCCAGAGTCCCTCTTACTCCCCGACCTCCCCCTCTTACTCCCCGACCTCGCCGTCATATTCTCCCACCAGTCCCAACTATAGCCCCACTTCGCCCAGTTACTCCCCGACCTCCCCCAGCTACTCGCCCACCTCCCCCAGCTACTCGCCAACCTCTCCGAGTTATTCTCCAACTTCTCCCAGCTACTCCCCCACCTCCCCCAGCTACTCGCCCACCTCCCCCAGCTACTCGCCCACGTCTCCCAGCTACTCGCCCACTTCCCCCAGCTACTCACCAACTTCCCCCAGCTATTCACCAACTTCCCCCAGTTATTCACCCACCAGTCCCAACTATTCTCCAACCAGTCCCAATTACACCCCGACATCACCCAGCTACAGCCCCACGTCCCCCAGCTACTCACCTACTAGTCCCAACTACACGCCGACCAGCCCGAACTATAGCCCCACCTCGCCCAGCTACTCGCCCACCTCGCCCAGCTACTCGCCCACCTCACCCAGCTACTCGCCTTCAAGCCCAAGGTACACGCCACAGTCTCCCACCTATACCCCGAGCTCGCCCAGCTACAGCCCCAGCTCGCCCAGCTACAGCCCCACGTCCCCCAAGTACACCCCAACCAGTCCTTCCTACAGCCCCAGCTCACCCGAGTACACCCCAACTTCACCCAAGTACTCCCCTACCAGCCCCAAATATTCACCCACTTCTCCCAAGTACTCTCCTACCAGCCCCACCTATTCGCCAACCACCCCAAAGTACTCACCAACATCACCCACCTATTCACCCACCTCTCCTGTCTATACTCCCACTTCGCCCAAGTACTCACCTACGAGCCCCACATACTCACCTACATCCCCCAAGTACTCTCCCACCAGCCCCACCTACTCTCCCACCTCACCCAAAGGCTCTACCTACTCTCCCACCTCCCCCGGCTACTCCCCCACCAGCCCTACCTACAGCCTCACTAGCCCGGCCATCAGCCCCGATGACAGTGACGAGGAGAACTGAGGGCGGCCGCAGCTGGCTAGGGAGGGGGCACCTCAGTGCGATTCCCCACCCTCTTGTACATAATGTCTGTGATGTAGCTCTCCCACCCCGGCAGAGCGCTGGTTCCCATTTTCAGTGGGCTTGTCTTGTTTTCTCAGTGTGCTTTCTCAGAACCCTCCTGCCCAGTTGTGGTTCCTCCTTCCTAACCCACCCGCCCCAGGCCTGCCCCCCACTGAGGAGCCTGCCTTGCCTGTGGCTGAATTGGGGCGACAGGGTGTTTCACTTCTTAGAAGGGAGGGTCATGAGAGCGGATCCTCCAAAAGAACAAAGCTGAAACTGCCTCTTTTTTTGTTATTTTATTTTTTTCAAATTTAAATAAAGTTTACTAATTTTGACCAAAAGTGTGTGCGAGTGTGTAACTGGTGCTTGGGGGGGAGGCAGGGGTACCCGTGGTCTGTATCACTGCCTGCCGCTGACCCCTGCAGAGTCGGGGAGAGGCAAGAAGGAGCAGACACAGACCCTGCTCGGCTGGACCTCTGCACTGGATTTGTTGGGTCAGGAGATAGTTTTGTTCTGCATTGACACGGTAAGTGACATAACCGTTTTTTTGGTGGTTTTTTTCCCATCATTTTATTGGGGGCTTGTACAAATCATCACCATCCATCCATTCATTGTGTCACGCACATTTGTACATTCGTTGCCATCATCAAAACATTTGCTTTCTGCTTGAGCCCTTGGTATCAGGTCCTGCTTTTTTTCCGCTCCCCCTCCCTCATGAATCCTTGATGATTTCTAAATTATTATTATTTTGTCCTATCTTACACTGTCTGACGTCCCCAAGGGAGGAGGTTATATGTAGATCCTTGTAATCAGTTCCCCCTTTCTACTCCACCCTCCCGGTATCGCCACTCTCACCACTGGTCCTGAAGGGATCATCTGTCCTGGATTCCCTGTGTTTCCAGTTCTTATCTGTAGCAGTGTACATCCTCTGGTCTAGCTGGATTTGTAAGGTAGAATTGGGATCATAATGGTGGGGGGGAGGAATCATTTAAGAACTAGAGGAAAGCTGTATGTTTAATTGTTGTTACACTGCACCCTGACTGGCTCATCTCCTCCCCGCAACCCGTCTGTAAGGGGATGTCCAGTTGCCTACAGATTGGCTTTGGGTCCCCAATCTGCACTCCCCCTCGTTCACAATGATGATTTTTTATTCTTTGATGCCTGATCCCTGATCCCTTCAACACCTCGTGATCACACAGGCTGGTGTGCTTCTTCCATGTGGGCTTTGTTGCTTCTCAGCTAGATGGCCGCTTGTTTACCTTGAAGCCTTTAAGACCCCAGATGCTATATCTTTTGATCATCACCATCAGCTTTCTTCACATTTGCTTATGCACCCATTGTCTCCAGCGATTGTGTCGGGAAGGTGAGCATCATGGAATACCAGTTTAATAGAACAAAGTGTTCCTGCATTGAGGGAGTACTTGAGTGGAGCTCATACAACTCTTAATCACCATACATAACATACAATTGTGTAAAGCACATTTGTACATTCATTGCCCTCATCGTTCTCAAAATATTTGCTCTCCACTTAGGCCCCTGGCATCAGCTGATGTAACAGCTTTTATTTCTAAATATATTGTAACATCTTTTAAACGTTTCTTACACGGAGGTGTAACAATTCAGGTAATTAAAGGGAGGTGTGATAGGAAAAGCAGAAAATTATCCTGGATCCAGCCACTAGGAGGCATATTTCCTTTGGTGTATGTCTGCATATAGACAGATTTTTTTAATGTTTTATTAGGGGCTCATACAACTCATCACAATCCATATGTACATCAATTGTGTAAAGCACATTTGTACCTTCATTGCCCTCATCATCCTCAAAACATCCGCTCTCCACCCAAGCCCCTGGCATCAGCTCCTCATTTTTTCCCCTCCCTCCCTCCCTCATGAACCCTTGATAATTTATAAATGATTTTATCATATCTTGCGCTGTCCGACGCATTTTCAAAAAAAATAGTCATTTTATGTTATTTGAAAGATAATCAAATGAATGCGTATCTTATTCTATGTCCCTTTCACCCAGCTGAGCGAATTGAGTCTGGGTGTCTCTCCTGTGGCTCTGCTATCACAGGGCCTGCCCTGCCGTAGAAGTGACTACTAGTTTGAATTTTTTATTAGGCTGTTTGGGTGTGGTTTTCTTGATAGACCACTACAAACATATCTTTAAGAATGTTATTTTCTTAAAATGTTATTTAATGTTTTTTTAAAAATTTATATAATAAAATTCATTTGTATATATATTCTTTGTGATGGGCTTCTTTGATTTTAAACTTTTTATTGGGAAATGATTGAAGGTCTACAAAGTAGATCATGAAGTTTACATTCAAGAGTTCACGCCATTTTGAGCCAGGGGAGTAAGTTCATTTCCAGACCTGAAGAGTGGCCAAGCATCAGAGTCGTACTCACCAGTAAGTCCTGTCTCGTTTGTGGTGGTGAGTTTTGCCCCCCATTTTCCTCACACTCTCCGTCATCTTCTGATGCTGTCCTTTTCAGAACAGCTGGTATTGGCAACTGAGCGCATCTAGTTCTGGTTTCAGGATTGTGCACACTGATGCAATTTGTGGCCCATTCGTTATGCCACTGGACTGTTTCCGTGTGTTGGAAATACTGTAACCCAGTTGTAGGGCTTGGCTGTTCACTCTTCGTGGTGTCTTGAGTTCTTAGTTTATTATAGATGAATTTACTTTAAAAAGCAGTCTAAGTGTTAAGAAATTCAAACTTCCTCTATATATGCTCCTATATTCAAAAAGTATTATATATAGTTCTATATATACATATTTCCATCTTTAATTTACCTGAAAATGACTTTTGTTTTGGGGAGGGAAAGACTCAGCTTCCTTGATGTGGTAGTTTTATATAATTTGTCAACTTGTTAAGGGTGGAGTCTAGCCTGTCAATCAGGTTATAGCCAATGAGGCCTCTGTGTGGGAATGGCCTTCTCCTAAGGATTCTGGGAACTCCCATCTTCCTGGAGGCGGGACCCACACTCTCTGCTACACATTCCTGTTGACAAGCCACATGGAGCTACACTGATGCAGCAACCAGAGCCCTGGAACTGGAGGAGCCATGTGGGGAGACCCACACCAGTGCTGAGATGCTTCCACCACCACTTGATCCACAAGACTTTCCACCCACTGGCCTGTGATCTTTTTGCACTCAGCGTCATTGCATGTGTTGCGTGAGTCTGAAGAGGAACTTAAAACTTGTATCGGACATATGGGCTAATATCGGACTCATGGGCTTGATGTGGACTGGCTTGGGATGTTTTCTCAATATACAATTGCTCTTTTATATAGAGCTCTTTCTTACACACATGAGTGTCAATGAATTTGCTTCTCTGGTCTACCCACACTAACACACTTGACTTCCACATAAATACCCAAGTGTCCCAGCATAATTTATTAAAAGATATGTCCTTTCCAAATTACCTGACCTTCTGTCTAAATTCTTTTCAGATATACCTGGGTTTCGTATATATCTTCCTGGGTTCTCTATTCTGTCCCATTGCTCTATTTTACCTTCCTCTGCTTGTTCTAAATTATTTTACTCTTTCTTTTTTTTGCCACAAAGTATCATTTCCATTTCATTTTCGTTGGGATTTGTTGTTCGGCTTCTAATCTTCACACGGGCATGGAGGAGGTCGTGGCGCAGCACCCGAGATCTGAATGGCGATGGGGTGTCTGGATCTCCTGGGCTTCTGCGACCGGTTCCGGACCACCTTCCTGTGAAAGGGTCAGCTCACGCCCGCAGTGTGCAGCTTCATGCACAGCTGGCGCCTGGATACTCTCTTCAGACGGGGCTCAGACGCTGCACCCTCTGCTATGTTGCAAAGGATGAACCGCTTATCCGGCTTGTCTTTGGGCACGAAGCCTGTGCATGCGGTTCGTGCAGCAAATGGGATGCTCACCTTTTTTGCCCCCTCCACGACCCTTGTTTCTCCTTTGTCATCTTGGAAGCAAAGACTCAAGGGAAATTATTTGACTCTCAATACTTGGTAAAGCAAACCCCCCTGGTTGTTCTTCAGCAATGTTGGCTGTCTCTGGCCCTTTTGCTCTCACAAAGGTTTGGAATCAACTTGCCATGTTCTATAAAACAACACCGCTAGGATTGTAAAAATTTCATCAGTTCTGTAGCTCAATGGGATGCAGAGTCCCCACACCGAATTTTAAATGTTCTTGTCTTAAATCTCATTTATCTAGGGCTAAAGGGTAAAAATACCCATTAATAAAATTATATAGTTTTGCTTCATAGAGTTTGCACTTTTTTTAATAGACTTGTTCCTGAAGTCTTTACACTTTTTAATTGATACTATTCAGTACCTTTTTTTTTTAAACCATAAATTACAATGTTTTATTTTAGGGTGTTTTTATTTTTTAGCTCGAGCATGTGATAATTAAAAACATTACTGTTGGGGGGGTGTCTTACAATCAGTATCTTTTCAAACAACTTTTTCTGATGTCTTGGTGGACAGAAAGAAAGTCGCATTCTGTGTATCGAGTTTACAGCTAGTAAACTTTGTAATTTCTCCTAATAGCCTATTAGCTTCGTTTCATTTGTAAGAAATAGCCCGACTAGGGAAATGCTGAGGGACAGAACTTGGATTGGTGGTTGAGGGGTGGGGAGAGGGGATCAAAACCCCAAAACTCAGTGCCATCGAGTTTGAGTCTAACAGGATGATGGCACTGTGCTGACGTAGTGTTACACACTGGTGGGACTGCTAACCTGCTCGTGGAAAGGTCAGCCGTTTGAACCTGGCAGACAGCTGACTCTCGGTGAAGATTCACAGCCCCAGAAAGCTTTGTCTCACAGGGTCTCTGAGTCAGAATGGACCCTGAAGCAGTGGGTTTGGACCTCCTTTTCAGGGCGATGCACTGTTTTGGAGCTAGATGGAAGTGCTTCCAGGATGGTGAATGCACTAAATGGTTTATTGAATTGCCACTAAACTGTATGAAATTGCTGTGGAATTGCTCGCTGTAAGATGGTTAATTTTGCATTATGTGAATCACTCCGATGCCAAGAGCAACACAATTTTAAATCTCTGTGTTGGTTTCCCCTGCTCTTCGTAATAATCACATCATGTGTAAGTACTGGCAAGTTTGTTTCTTCCCTTCCCTTGATAACTTGTATTCCTTTGTTACTGAAATTCAAGGCCTTGAAGCAAATAGATGAACACGTAGGCTCCTGATCTTTAAAAAAAAAACAAGTAGAATGTTCCTATTGTTTCACCATAAAACTATTATGTGTGCTACAGTCTATTTTTTTTTTAAACATTTTATTAGGGGCTCATATAACTGTTACCGCAATCCACACACACATCAAGTGTGTAAAGCGCATTTGT